TGTGTGTGTGTGTGTGTGTGTGTGTGTGTGTGTGTGTGTGTGTGTGTGTGTGTGTGTGTGTGTGTGTGTGTGTGCATTGATCAGGGCTGTGCATAGGCAGGGAAGGGGTCTGCTGGCATCCCGTCCTTAATCCTGTCTGATGAGAATCGAGCGTAACCCGCTTTTATCCCCCGCTAAGGAACCAGGTTTTTCCTATCTCTTCGTTGTTGTCTGTCCGTCTGTCTGTCTAACCGCCTTATCTGATTTGGCTTCATGTAACTTTTATTGTACATTTTCTTTACTAAGTTCCTTCTATTATTACCTCCCTTGCTGTGTGGCTTTGTAGCTTTGTCTCTGTGTCTCAGAGCAGTCTAGCAGGACTTAGGGCACTTAATTTAATCGGAGTAGTTTACACCAGTTGACAGCTAACATAGCGTGTGACGCTCAAGCCGCCCGCTCACATGCAGCGAGTGAGCAGTGAGGTCTGTAGGTCACAGACAAAAGTCTGGATAATGTGATTGTGTCTACATGGCTGTTTGATTTATTTGATGAATAGTCCTCTTAACTTTACTCCCAATAGTCTGACATGAAGAAGCATCCACTCTCACAGAGCATGACATTATGCCTTCACATCTTCAAGTAAGTTGTTTGAATGTCATGGTCCCTAAACCATTAGGACATTGCTTGTATGTGTGTGTATGTGAAGTACACACCTTTGTGAATGTGTGTGTGTGTTTTAATATCAATCACCCATCCCCACCACCAGCAGCTGACTACAGCAAATATAATAATGTAAATTAATCCGTTGATCTCCATCTCCATCATCCCAGACTCTCACGCTGTCAGGTGCTGTCCCACATCCAAGCTTAGGGAGGCAAAATGTGTTTCTGTATCAAATTCATAGAATATATTTAATTTATTCCAAGGTTTCCTGAGCCGGAGATCTTAACATCTAAAGACATTTGGAAAAAGCATATCTAAAATGGCAAGATTTCCGAATATTACACAGTGGGATAATATGTGATGAGACTTTAACATCATTTACTTTAAATACCAGCTTCAATGTTTTCATTTAGAAAGCTAGACTAGGATTTGGTAAGTGAGGAAAGGTAAGAAACTGTCTATATAATAAAACAATACTGAATTAAGTTATTAAGATCATATTTACATGTTGGCGCTCACTATAATCAATGCATGTATTTGTATTAAAATCATTTCCAAGTTTCATTGCTTCACAGTGCAGTGAGTAAGAAAAGATTCTTCTCCACTGTAATGCTGGGGTTTTACATAGTGGTTGAACATTGTATAGCTTTGGTGAAAAATTAACCACAGTCTGTTTGGTTCAGTGTGGGTGTATTGTTCAATTTGCTTTGAAATGTGGTGGAAAGCAGACTAACGAGCGAGGTTTCCTGGCCGTCACATCACAGCACGTTGGCTCAAAGATCACATTTTTTCTTACCGAGAGTGCGCACGGGGTTGTTGATGTTGCTGGGTGGGCTGACTCCGTGCATGTTGGCCGCCCTGACGACAAACTGGTACTCTGTTTCCGGTAATAACCCCTTCATAACCATGGAGTTAGTCTCAATGGGCTCACGGATATATGTCCACTCAGTGTCCATTTCTGGCCTGCGAACGACAAGATACACAAAATAAACGATTTGGGATTAATTTATCAAAATGTTACAATTACCTTGAAATAATTATAATTATTTGTTGACAAAAAATCCTCATTCTCAAAACATCTTAAAAGTGATTGTATTGAGGATGATGATGATGACGACGATGTCGATGTGGATATTTGTCTTTGTTTTCCTTGAAAAAGTCTATAAGTGTTTGCAAATATAACAATAACTAGAGACTGTAGATCTAAGTAATTCAAAGTCGCAAAAGAGAGAGATGTTACTATTTTTAAGGCTCTTTAGAAGCTTTCTTATTTTTTCTTTAATCAGAGCATTGTTTTGAAAAGTAGAGCAAAAAAACAAAAAGATGAACTCCTGAACTTAATTTCTTCTGCCTATCATCTCCAGCTGCCATATTTGGTGCTGATTCTTTGCGCCTGGAGCCACGGCTATCTGTTGAACAGAGTCATCTTCACCACCAATCACTGTCTCTCTTCAGCAAGGCCTCTTTTGAAGTAGGGGGAGAAATATTTGCCTCTGATAAGGCCCTTTTGTATTGAAAAAGCCCCTGCATGCAAACACAGACGCTGATTCATGTCTACGCTGTCACAGTAAGTGACAGTTTCTCTGCCTCTGTCTCTCTGTCTTTGTCCCGCTCGCTTTACGCAGTCTGGAGTTAACTCTCTACTGCAAAAGGCAACACTATTGTGATTTAACTTAGTTTTCGTCTTATATCTTTAGAACTGTTTTCTGTTTATTTGTATTTTTCTTACGGAGGCATTTAAACATTTTATCTCTCTTTTTTCATTATGTTCTGGCAATCAGACAGAGGACAAGGAGGATCATTATCCGACTTCCTTGAATTTGTAGCCTAGACAGTGGCGGCGGGTGTGTGTGTGTGTGTGTGTGTGTGTGTGGGGTGTGTGTGTGTGTGTGTGTGTGTGTGTGTGTGTGTGTGTGTGTGTGTGTGTGTGTGTGTGTGTGTGTGTGTGTGTGTGTGTGTGTGTGTGTGTGTGTGTGTGCGTGTGCGTGTGCGTGTGCGTGTGCATGTGCGTGTGTGTGTGTGTGTGTGTGTGTGTGTGCTTTTGTTTGAGTGTGCGTCTGGACACTACCAGTCAGGGTCCCAACTGATCCTCACGTCAAAACACAAGTGATTAGATTGAGAAGACCCGCAAAGGCCTCACGAAATTCAGTGTTAAAGGGATCTTTGTATTCTGTGTTGTAGTAATGTGACGAGTGACGAGTGTCTGCAGATGGTCTGAATAAGGAGGCTGAATGTGCTGCTTTACAGAGAAAGCTTTTTGGACAAAAGCTTTTTTTAATTTTCATATAGCCATTGTGTATTCTGTATATTGTCAATTCACTTATTTGCTTTTGCTCTGCTTATAGAATTTGAAACTAAAGCCCAAAGGACAAAAATGTTGTTTCTAGTTTGTTTAATCCATACCCAAACCCGTCTTCTTAGAAAATGTTTTACATTTAGTATGCTTGGATACCTTGGCATGATGACTATGTACTATCTGTATGGTTGTAGAAAATACCTAAGAGTATTTTTTCTCCAAAATAACCTCTCAGAATGGTGGTCTTTGTTCAGTTTTATCCAGAGAACGACAGCTTATCAATTAAGAGAATGACGATGAAGATCAAACCAGTCAGCCTATTCCCTTTCCTCCCACAGCCAGTTATGATACAAGGCTTTTTACTTAAGGCCGTTCTTTCCCTCTGTGGCTTGGACACGTCAGTGTCTATATGGGTTGGGGTTAGTGTAACCTGAATGTAACTAAGTGCATCTGCAAATCTATAAACCTGTCAATGTGTGTTAGTGTGAGTTCTGGCAGCAACACTTTGATGGTGAGGTCGCAAGAGGCAGGTCACCCATTTTGAATATTATCAGAAATGTTTTATCTTATAGATGTAGGTCAGAAGGCGCCTGCTTCTGAGAAAAAGTTGGTTTTATGAACTATTCAGACGGTTGATGACCAAAAGAAGGAATACAAGTAGATGAAACCGACCTGTAGCCACTATAAAATCTATGACAGGAGCAAAGGCCAAGTCAGTTGAATTAGTATTAAAAACTAAAAACTCCATGAGGGGTGAAAGTTGTGCGATCGATAAGACACAAAACACAGGACACACACCAAGTAGTTTGCATCTTGTGGTACGAACAATGTCTGGGTGTTTCTTTTTCACAACGTTACGTTTCAAACTTTAACATGTGTGATTTAATTATTTAACCTGTCATTTTAACAATACATTTAACAACGTAGTAGTAGGTGCAGTTTGGCCTATCTCAATAGCAATATACACCATTGAAGACTATAAATGGGTGATATGATTTGAAATAAATGGGCTTGTTTTATAAACATCAAGCTTCATTACATGTTTCTTTGAGTTTTGTAACGACTGACCTGATGTAGGCCACCAGGAAGTGAAGGACAGTTGCGCTTCCCTCGCTCTCTCCTTGCTGCCATGACAACGCCAGCTCAGTGTCAGATACAGCCATGACGACAGGCTGAGTGGGGGGTGATGGGGGCATGCACTTGTCTTGTTGCACAGAGAGAAATTGAATTCAGAAGAAGATATTAACAGTACACCATTGCAGAAAGATTAGCATCAGCTGTAAAATGAAGTCACTACGACATATTCTTACCATGTGTGGCAGTGCTGATGTCTCTAGGCATGCTGGGTCGGCCTTCCCCTGCCCAACCATACGCTCCGACTGTCACTCTGTACTTAGTGTTCATCTTAAGATTACTGATCTCCACATCCTACAAATGTCAGAGTGGTAGAGTAGAGAAAAAGACAGATATGGATTAAGATGGCATCAAGGATTGCTCGGGGAAGATGGTGGAAGAGGACGAAAGACTAAATAACATATCATTTATTATTTGAGATTTTCCGAGTGGAAAGTAGTTCAAATGCAGCTGTAAATGTCAAGCTTGATAATAAACCAATCCAATTTAGTTTGTTATAAAAGAGAAAATAATACTCACAAAGCTTGCTTGTCCTTCAAATTGGCCCTTTGGAGAAAAGAAGAGCAGAGGGTTACCTAAATGTTTAAGTGTATCAGTGCGGCGGATATTATGACAAATGTAATTGAAGGTCGAAAACATTCTAATATTCAACTTGATGTTAGTGATGTGTGAAACATGGGGAATGTAATGGTCTAGTACTCTAGTTAGTACAAAGTTGTATTTTCTAAAAAAGCAAATAGTTCTCCAAAAGAACTGGGCTCTGCAATTTGTTATATATAAATAAAACAGAAAACAGGGCATTGGCACATACATATTTTCAGCAGCAGATAAACACACAATTGGTGTTCTAGTATTAAGGCAGCAGGACAATGCGGGATCAACTTTAAATATATATCAGTGTCCATGTTCACAATAATGAAGCAACATGTCACTATGGGAATAATTCATGTGTTTTTTATAGTTGTTTGGAAGAAAAAGGAGCTCTTTGGCATAGAGGAGAGACGAAGAGAGGGATACAATGAATCAGGCTTTGGCTAAAGAGTTTTTTATTATCTTTTCTGGGGAGGGGTTTTGTGTTTTTGAAGCATGTTTTCTTCGTGCAATCATAAAGCAGCTCTGCAAAGATTTGTTGGCTACCACAGCTGATAATTCCCACATCGGAAGTTAGAGATGGATCAAAGTTGAGTGGTGAATACAATGGGATACTAAAGCACATGTGTCAAACTCAAGGCCCGGGGGCCAAATCAGGCCCTTGGTGGATTTAATTTCGGCCCGCAGGATAATTTTTAATTACTATTTAATCTGGCCCGCCGGTACATTGCACGCACACCTTCACTCAATCCTGAAGTATCTGGCTTGAACTAGCATTACAGAGCAGCACACTGAGTTTAAAATGTAATCATAAGAAATGACTCCGGAAAAGCTGCAGATAGAGCCATAAGCAATGAATGCAACTGATTATTTAATGTTTAATGTTGTTTTTATAGGCAATAATTTAAGCTTTGTTAGTTCCAGGTTTAATATGTGCAATAAATTAATCTCAATACGTTTTGCAATAAACATTGAACCAGTCCGGCCCTCGACTAGTACCAATTTTTTTATTTTGGCCCAGTGTGTATTTGAGTTTGACACCCCTGCTCTATAGCATGTTCACCACTGATTTAAAGAGAAGATAAGATAAGATGCTCTTTAAAGTTTAAAGTCATTGTGCTCACAGTGGTCAGCATGTCCAAGTTGAGAGGCACCTCCATCAGAGACCCTGTATCCATCGGACGACCATTCCTCATCTCTGTGTAGAAAACCTGAAAAACACACACACATGGTCAACGAAAAAGACGCATACAAAGATATATTTGTCTATGAAAAATGTTCAGATTCATATTATTTCATAAAAAATCTAATCTATTCTGTCAGTGTTGTATTTGACATTCATAAATATCATGTTTGCTATTTTGGATTAAAGCACCATTTTTGTTTAACCTGTTCCAGTATGAAGTCATGGTTTCTTAATGGATAAGAGGAAAAAACTATGAGGAAACCCGATTATCAATGATTTCCAAAGTGATTGGTTAAATGAACACATACGCTGATCTTAGAGCATTGGGGAAGCTAGGTAGCTGGCTAATCCTCTTAGTGCGGACATATGTTCAAAAGCAGAGCACACACCAACACTCGTACTGATCCACGCTTTTGGTAATGGTTGACTCAAAACAAACAAAATAAAGGAAGGAAGGAAGGAAGGCAGGAAGGAAGGAAGGAAGGAAGGAAGGAAGTTAGTAGGGCATAATATCTCATTCAAAACGTTTTTGTTTTTTTAAATCTACGTATAAGAGAACATTGGCTCTTAGAAGTAATGACTGTGTAAAAAAAGAAAAGTGGTACTCCTTTTTCTATTCAGTATCCTGTCCATTAGTGCAACGACTATACACAATCTCTTGACCTGCCTTTGCATATCATAAAATATATATATGCTATATGTTTCTACCAAGAAAACAGATCTCACTTTAGTACTCGAAGCACAGAGCAGAGCAAAACATCTATTGACAAAACGCTAAAACAAATATTTGTGACATCTTTCAGAGCTATATTGCCCCCTTAAAAGCATAAATCTAAAGTGAAGAGGTTCCTTTAAAACACAAGAAATGTTGAAATATCAATCTAGCCCTCAAGGCCATCTTGCTGGACAGTGTATTTGACAGGCACTTTATAAAAGGTGGGGGCTCCAACTGAAAGGCTTGCAGAGGTAAATGGGCATTGGCTTAGAAGAAAGAGAGGCAAAATGATTTATGACATATACGAGAGGTTTTTTTTATGTTTACCAGGTTGAAAACCTTTCAATGCATTTTGAAAAGGAGTTTGTAGGGCAGGATTTTAAGCCCGCTGTTTGTAAAGCTAAATGTTTTATTTTCCTTTTGGTTTAACAGTTTTTCTGTGTAGTGATTCTTTAAATGTGTGGATGGTACCCATATCTATGGTGGTACCCAGCAAGGAAGCCATCACAATGAAATCACTGCTGGAAACCCTGATATAAATTGTATCAAGCATCTCCCTTTTGGACCAAATTAAACAATATGTAAAAATAATACATACAATACTGAAATATCTGTGTTATTATTTAATGTAAAAGACACGCTCTGTGACTACCTTGTATCCGGTGATGGTGCTGACGTGTCGCCGGGGCATCTTCCATCGTACACTAAAGGTGGTGCAGTTGACTGTCTCCAGTTGGATGTCTAATGGAGGACTCAGGCGATCTAACAAATACACACAGAGTGCAAGAGATCAGGCATACTCAAATTGTTCATTTGATTTTTAGTGCTGACGGATTATTGAACAAGACTGTTAGATTTACATGGCAGCTTTTGACCAATGAAACATAGAATGAGCTAATTAAGCATCTCAGCATTCTTAAAATAAATAAATGATATATATAATATAATATTAACAGTGGATCATATGTGAAAGGTGCTGCTCCTGACACCAAACCCACTGAGAATCATCCGCTAATGTGTCAAAGGATGCTCTAAACAACCCACAAAAAGAAACTCAAGTGCTGGTGTTACTCTGTATGTCTAATATTTATTATATATATGTATTTGTTGCTAACATTCATCAATGCAAATGTTCACAGCTTGTTCTGATGATAACAATGGTGCAAAGTGTCAGGGGAGGTTTCATAAATATGAAAATAGATTTTAATTTATATTTACAACCTTAACCCTACAACTTGTGAAGATGATATTGAGTACTACTTTCAGTTGTGACAGAATTGCCTGTCGATTATATATAAATGCTTTGTCAATACCACCATGAGGTTTGAACAAAAGCAGGTCTTTGGCAAATGGTTTTAAAATAGCCAATGATAACATAAACATTACCTTACCTTTTGTTAGAGTTACAAAAGGATTTTTTTTAAATGGCATAACCCATAGCTCTCTGCGGGGGATTCTAATATCAACTGACTCGCTTCATATGTCATTATTTTCCTGGTTTGGAGTCATTAAAATCCTGGGTGTTTGTGTGACACTTCAAAAGATTGTAATTTCAGACTGCGGCCTGAAAAACCTCTTGAAGACGAAGAAGAAAGAGAACAGGGTCTAGAGGTGTAGATCCTCATCACCTCTGATGACCAGCTGTATATTCATCACCTGGCTTTAATAGAGATAGAGGAGCAGACAAGGACCCTTATGGCCTCGCAGTCATGCACTTTATGTCATACCATTTACACAAACACATTGCTACATTCAAACAATGAAGAGGCTACGTGAAAATGCAGCATACAAATAGCTAAACCTTTCTTTTTTATTTATCACCTTATTAGAGTAGACTTGTATATGTCCTGATCTGGTCTAGTTGACAAAAGGACAGAAGTCCCTCGTATACACTGACACGAGGAATAAACAAAGGTTAAAGTAGGAGGCAGATCTCTGTAAATTGAAATATCATGTAGCTACAGTGTTGCTCTTTTCCATTTTCGTGTTTCTCTCCTCTTTATTTCTTGTGACTCCCTTCTTCTACTTCCTAAGCCGACCTCTCTCCTAAATCCACTGAACATCTCTTCTGCTTTATCGAACCCTTTCCCCTGCTCTTCCATCCAAGCGGGTAATTCAATATGTCAGCTGTATTCCCTGATCATCCATTTCTCCCCAGGGATGTGTACGGGTGAGCTGAACTCACAGAATAAGAGTTGATGGAGAAATAAATTCTTAAATCATTATTTGTATGTACATGATCATCAGTGGCGAACCGTGTCTATCACAACTGGAACTTCTGTAGACACACACACACCACATTTGTAGTTTGTTTTATCTGAGTGTTCCAGGGTATTCTCTGAGTACAGCAGCTTACAATGGTGCTTCAAGGTAGCTCTGGGTACATTAAGCTTTTGACCATCAGTGAGGGACAGAATTATTTTCCGTCAACCTTGTTTTTGGTTACTCTTCAAGGTACTGTTTATGCTGTTATAATTGCCACATAAGCTGCTTTTGCTATACTGTGACTTCAACTTGGCCGTACAACCCAGAAACCCCACTTGAATGGTCAAATCTAATGGGTGCATTGCCCTCGTACATGAATGGGACAGGAGAGGCCAGACTTTAGAGGTTATGCAAGGCGCAAACTTCTACAATGTACAGTATAAACACACTGTTTGGAAAATGGCCACAAGAGAGCACACTGTCAGCTACCAAAACATTGTCATTCTCTCTTGATAACACAAATAAATAAAAACATCTGCAGCCTCTCATGCAGAACACATCAAGGAACACACAGTATTACAGGCCATCCCAAAAATTCAACATACCAGGTTGTCAAACTACCACTCTGAGGTGTTTCCTTTGAAATCCCTTGTTACGCTGAAGTGCGGATGCAATAACTACACTTTCCAGTGGTCAGGTAGCATTTTCATGTTTTACAGACGGAAAGAAATTCTTTGTAACATAAGTCAACATGACACAGGAGTCGCAGGATGTTGTTTACCGATTGGCTGCAGGTACTCTCTGGCTCTCTAGAACCAAAAACACATAGACATTGAGTGGCAGCCAGACATCTTTTGGAGCAAAGCACCTGCACATTTCACTCTGATTTTCCGGCTCCACTTTTGAAGTCAGTCATGTGAAAAAACACTGCTTCCAGGTCTGTTTCATCCACCAAGACGTGTGCTGCCCTTCAGCATGGCTTAGGGAAGGATATAAGATATTTGAATGAAATGTAAACTGAATCTGACAGGATTAACTGGGAAATGTCATCTCCTGAAAAATAAATGAAGTATATTTTCATTGTTTTGGAGCTCCTTGGTAGCAGTGTTTAAAGTGGATGCTACATTACCATGTTGTCCTTTGTTTGATTCCAGCATTGGGACGTTTGTTTAGCTTGTAATACTCCTCTCTCTCCCCGCTTTTTTACTCTTTCAAATAAAGGTGAACATGCCTTGTATAATATGAAAGAAAGATTCATTGTCTTTCCAGAATAATTCAACAGCTTTCACTAACTATCGAGAGGGCTGGCAAAATCTGGCAAAAGTAAGACAATCTCGGGGAAAGACGTCATTCAATCTTAACTCTTTCCTTGTGCTACCAGCTTTGTTGTGTAAAGGCTGATGTGATTCATCTGGACATCTAGTTGACACCCCCAACTCCCCCTCCCTCAGAAGGAAGCCTGAGAGACCTCAAAAACAAACAAACAAAAAAGTACAAATGTCACTGGAGGTCATGGAGACAGAACCACAGCCGTCCACTGTATGGCAGTCCCCACTGTGGTGAGTCTCTGTGCTGACAGACAGATGTGATAGTTAGCCTGTGGGTCTTAGGCTGAGGGAGAAATACATCAGATAGACTGACAGTGAGAGAGAAAGGAAGTGATTGAAAGAAGGAAAGAGGGAGGAAAGGGAAGAAACTGTGATGGAAAAAGTGTTCAGGGTGTCAGGATATCAGAAAAGGTTGGAGGAGAGAGAAGGCACTGTGGGAAGAACAAATCAACATCCACTGGCAAGTTTCCTTTGTATGCAGTTGATCAGAAGCTGGATACTTCCCTGTCTTTATTCAACAACCATTTCATATCTGGGAGAATCCCTAAATTATTTGTTTTAGTCAAAATGTTACCACGTTATATCCATTTTATTTTCGTTCCTTCCTAAAATGTATCAGAACATATAATGTGTTAAAATTACATCGAAGTGAGGGGAACTTCTTTAAATGGTCTAAGTAACATGCTGCACTGTAGATTTTGTTGTAGAATTATCACTTTTATGAACAGGGGTGTTAAGTGGAAGGGGCTTGTTTTGAACAGCAATGTTCATATTGTATAGCTTTTATCGCTATAAAAAGGACTTTAAAGTTTAAATTAGTCACGTAGATGTTTGGGAATTAATGTTTAAATTGTATTTTTCATGTATAGGCCTACTGACAAATCATTTCAAAAGCTGGCTTTATGATACTGGAGTAATAAAACAAATGGAAAGATGAGCACACACAAATGCTGCCCTAATCCACAATGTTTCAATAAAAAGGATTATCATGATATTTACTACACCATGTCAAATGTGGAATAAAGGTCAGGTAAACTCACCAGATCTCCGAGCACTTGATTTTCTTGCACAAAGGCACACGTTGGCTGTGCATATTGCGAAGAGAAGTAACAGAATCCTTTCTTTAGATCCCATGTCTTCTGCAGGTCGAAAGTTTAAAACGGTCAAATTATCATTTTATCCCACATGCAAACGCGCCTGTAGCTGTAAATAAAAACAGACCTCTGTGATAATAAAGTTTCTCTCTGATCAAAATCGTTTTTTCATCCAGATTGTTCTTGCAAATGCCACTCGAAGACAGACAGAAACTGCCCGAGAGGAAAAGGCAGGTACGGTTTGACACTGATAAGATTACAGTCTACGAAAGATCAGTGGGTTGGACACATTGACGGACGGACACACATCCACTGCGCCCCACGCGCTGACAAACGATAGAGAGGGTTGTCCCGACAACTCGCGCGTAATGCGCAACGATTAAAACAACTGAATAGTGGGCTCAATCATTTTTAAGCATGAATCTCGCTTTCTTGTCACGCTCAGGTCCGCTTCTTAGACAGGATATGAGACGGACAGCGGAATGCAGGAACGTGGGGCCATTTAGAGCTAAGAGGATAACAAGCCTCTAATCCGCACAATGGACACAGATGGAGATCATGAAGACGCAGAAGCAGAGTAACTGTACGGTGTGTGTGTGTGTGTGTGTGTGTGTGTGTGTGTGTGTGTGTGTGTGTGTGTGTGTGTGTGTGTGTGTGTGTGTGTGTGTGTGTGTGTGTGTGTGTGTGTGTGTGTGTGTAACAATTACTAAACAAGGCAAAACAATGAAATCTTAATTAATGTTCCACAAAGACATTGCTGTACTGATTTTTATGCGATTCTTTACAGATGATGTTTTTTAAGTCTCTATAATGACATACAGTTTGTTTGAAATGAATGCTATTTGAGTGTTGTGCACTTGTGCACGTGTAAGAGAGAGAGAGCAGTGTTTGCAGGAGTGCTCAGCCAAATCACTTCAGAGGCATTTTTCTTCAAGTAGCTAAAAAGAAAAGGAGAGTGAAAGACGACAGGGAACAATGCACACACAAATTATACCTGGCAATCTTAACACTGATTGAGCATATTTTCTAAGTCAGGCTTTGTGAAAGTGCATTTCATCCATCACTTGTCCTGCTCATTTTCATTATTATTGATAGAAGAAAGATTTAGAGACCCACATTATTAGTTACTGTAAGTCTTTAAAAGTAGAAATGTAACATTAACTAGTGCGGAGACCCCTAAGCTTCACATGTTCCTTATAGTCCTTTTCATAAAGACTTCGTCGTTACAGTACAGATTGTACGACACAGCATGTTTTGTTAGGGGGAATGATGATGTTAGGCCAGGACTGAGTGAAGGTGAAATGTAAGTAAGACATATCAAAGTATATGACTTTATCATCATGAGTGAGGGTGTGACATAACACTGACATTTCCTTATGATCCCCTTTGTAAAATTGTAAATTGCTTCAATTATAGTCTGCTTTACAATTGAACTCTCATTCCAGACGCATGCACCAATATCAGCGGTTAACCATGCAAGGTGTAAAATGTAATGAATAGCACTCAGTATAATGTAGTTGTAAGCTGCTTTAAGGATATCTGTCACTGTTGATGCATTCATCAATGATGCTGGTAAATTAACAGGCGATGACCATCACAGTATAAAAATACATCTTCATGGGAGAAGTTATAACTATTCATAGTGTTCATCAATAAGCACCTAATCCTAAATCTGTGTTAAAGACAAACTCATTTTAAATAATAATACTCTATTTAAAGATTACAAACATGTGTTTTCCTTCATGTCATGCATCTATCAGATTTTCAAAAGATAAAAAAAGAAACCAAAATAATCACGCCACCAATCATCATCAAAGACCTAGAACAAATACAACATGATATTAGTGTTATTGCACTATGCAGAAAATACACAATTTCTCTTTAACTTGATTCCAACCTTCCTTGCATTTGTCAATTGTATTTATCATAAACTCTCTGGGTCACAGAGGCATAATGTGATCTAATTATTCAAGTTTCTTCACCTGAAATTATCAAACAATCACACAACATGACCCAAACAGCTGGATAAGCACTCATCTGCAGAGGTCAGAGGGAAATACTGTGAGAAAAAACATCATTAGTGTTTTTGGAAAACTCTACCCTGTGTCAAACAATATAAGCTGATTTTGGCAAAGACTAAGTTACAATAATTACAATTAAAATATGCCCTAAATCAATTAAATCCTCTGTTTGTTTGTTTTTAAGTGCATTTGGTGAAATATTTAGTATTTTGACTAATTCAATGGAGCAGGATCCTATTGTCATATTGTATAATCTAAATTACATTTCTAGCTCATCTATGTTCAAACAAAAGAAAATTATTTAGCATAACTGATGTGTATTGTGTTGTCACCATGTAGTTGTAAAATAAAAACATGTTTACTCATAGGACTACATTTTCAGCGACAAGACTTCCTGCTTTGATTTAACTTGTAAAAACTCAGTCAGATCAGCACAAAATGTAACACATGTAACACGATGTAACACAACTGTTAATTGAGAGCAGTGTCTGAGATGATTGTCACGTTGTTGCATGAACAAACTCACTGGTTCCATCTCCTGGACAAAGACATATCGCACAGACTGGACAAAGAGATGCAGGCAGCCAAAGCACAAACAAAGGCATATATTTTCTCATAACATTATCATACAAACAACCAGACCATCCATCTACTTTCCTGGGGAACTCACTCAAAAATAAAAGGGAATCACAAGGTAAAATTCGTATTAGCCTTGTCCAAGTAAATCAATTAAAACGTTTTTTTTTTTAAACAAGCTAATAAACCAGACTGGTGGTTTAGAAAATTGTCCCTCTCAAGGAGAAGAGCAACAGTCGGAAGTCATAGGCATGTGACAGGATTTTTGGGATGTTGGGGGAACTAATTTGTTCTTTCTCACCACACTACAAGATCATTAAAAATATCAAGATAAATTGATTTTATTCTTCACTTGCATCAGTTCTTTTGGTTTGCTTTCACACTTCAACCATAAGGACTTTCAGTCATAAAAAATCATAGAAAAAATATAGAATTCTGAATTCATTTCAACTCTGTAAGTTAAACAAGAAAAAAGGAAATACAGAACATTTTACTCTCGGTTGTCAACACTGAGGTGTTTAATGCTGTACATGTTTACCATTACTATGTACATTGACATCAGTACATAGAAATGGTAAACAGTGTCCACTAGTGGCGGCATTCATCCATGCAAGTCCTACGAGTTACATAACAAAGTCCATCAAGGTTAATGACAAGTTGATTTGCTCATAACTAGTTGATCATTTATGGTAATTTTCTATTTTTTGGGTAACTTTAAATTCTAAATCTTAATTTAGAATTGAAAGTTTCACATCCTGAATTAAATTAATCTTATGAGTTGACCATTTAGAGTTCACTTTGAGGTTAATGTAAGCAGTTTTCCTGCCCCAAGCCATAACCCCTGGCAGCTGCAGGGGAAATGATATAAATAAAAACTGATATAAATCTCCCTAGCATAAAAGATGACTACAAGTCTAAAGACACGCGAGTGGCTCATTGAGGCCTTACTCAAACACACCAGTGCTTTAACCTTTAAGCTGTACTGCTTATGATGACAATGTTTACATTCTGATGTTTAGCTGGTTAATGTTTACCACTATGCTTTTTAAAATATCTTACACAAATGATTGTGCTAACCACAAAAACCTGAAGATGACTAGAATGTTTGTGGAAAAATTCTAGTCATAAATCCATCAAATTCAGAAAATGCGAGTACCACATTTTGAGGCAATTATTTTAATATCTATTAAGACATTTTTGTCAAAAACATAAACTTTAGACTCATTATCGTACTGGATGGGAATTTATGGGATGACCAAATAAATGATTAATTGCCTGGGAAGATATTTCTCTGTATAAGGGAAGAATGTGACCTGCTTGTGATGCTAGAGGTAAAGTCAGATTATCCTCAGTCACTACAGTTCATCCTCTTGGGAACATGAATGTCTGTACTAATTTCCATTGCAATCCATCTAAAAGTAGTTGAGACACTTCAGTCTGGACCAAATGGGCCATGCTTCTAAATAGAAAACACATTCCACTGTAAGTATGACATTAAACACGTATTAATGTAGAAAACAGAACACAGGATATTATCACCAACCCCGAAAAACAGGTTAGGATATTATTTTTTTTCCCTGCTAATTTCTGCACCAGCAGCAGTGTCCCAAATCAGACGTCTATTACAGCTGTCAACTCCCTCTTCACATGAGTCGCTCTGGGGGATGCAGATTCATGCTGGCCGATAATGACGGGTGAAATGACCTGTGCAATTAACCCTTCTTCATGTGAGTAAAACTGAGCCCCATAAATGGCTGACAGATTCAATTGCAGTTCAGCCCCCGGTTAGCCGCTCATGCCTTGCAAGTAGTAGAATGGACATCTGTTTGGTGTATTTTCTGCTTGTGAGGGTCTAATTGCTTGAGGATGAGATATTTCCATTCAGTTATAGTGGGTCAGAGGAAAGGATAGCCTCTTCTGAGTGATTAGTAGTCTAACTTTTAAAAACACAAGTGGAAGAAAACTGTTATTCTGTATGACTTGTCAGTTACAGAATACATGGATGCTCAAATGGTTTTTGCATGTTCTGTGTGGTGAGGTGATTACAATACAGTGTGGCTAACATCCACTGACATGAACATGATTCATTTCCAAACACAACACTTTAAGGGTGCATGAGTGCATGTGTGTTTATACATTTACATATACTGTACACACACATGCGGACACACTGTATTTCAAATCAATCTTGTAAAGTTAAACTATACCTTAGAGGAAACAGCCTTATTCAGTGCAGCTGGAGAGAAAACAGTGACATTTCTCTTCTTCCTGGAAAGATTTGTCTGGTTTGTCTGCAACAGAACAGCAGCACATTCTATCCAAAAATAGCACTGCGGAAGAAGAGAGAGGGTGGATTTTAAAATGTTAGCAGGAATTCAAAGTATCCTAGCACTTGATCATTAAATTGGCATTGGTTATCTCCATTAGAACATAACTGGATGTTGTTTACATCTGGACTTTCAATCAAATATTATCACGTGGTATACATAATCATATAAATCGTACATATCATATGTGTTGTGCTTACCCTGATCTACCTTGAAGTATTAAAGCATTACAGCTGTGTGAGTAAGTTCTACTGTGATGACTAAAATAAAAATAAACAACTTTTAACAAATCCTGGAAAAAGAGCATTTGACACATTAAGCCTTGTTTATAGAGATAGAAACAAATCCCATAACACTGTTTCTGTTCCTTCTCGTTTGAGTTTTCTCTCTTGTTTCTGCCCCACTGTACTATTTGGCTTACTTTCTTTACCTTTTTAAAACATTTCTCTACAAGCATATCCCGCCTTTAACCTCCGTTTTTGCCACTTACATAGTGCCCTGACGACTGAAACTTGCACTATGGAACAAGTTAATGCCACACGAAACAACTTTACATTTGTTTAGTTTATATGCAGTGTTAGGCACATAAACTCAATTACTTCCACTCATAATTGCTCTGGTCTCGATTATTAAACACAAAGAGATGTGTGCCTTGTAGCCTGTCTAATTTAAATTATTAGATTATAAGAAGATCTGTCACAATCAATAAATAAGAAAATAACATTTACTTAGCCTCCTACATTCTTTCACTAAATAATGCAGGAGACTGTTGTCGGGTTGAGACCACGATGTGCTTTCATTTGCAGCTTGGTGTAAAGTGAAGTTCTGACTTTCATTTTAACACCCACAATGGCTGGTTTACAGCTTGAGTTTCCAAGGGAAGTTTGGAGTTGTTTAATTTGTTTAACAGGATCACTCGCAAAACACATGTGCAGCAGGCTGATCCGTATGCAGTTTGTTGTGTCTCACAGCAACCGTATATCCTTGTGCATCAATTGTAACTTAATAAAAAACAGAAACACTTGAATGCTTTCGCCAATTCCACTGATATTAACACCATGTATGTCTTTAAATGGGTTATTATTCATCTTAAGAGCAAGTTGTTCTTGACATGTTGCTATAAATATAAATTGAACAAAGAATATACTTTTACCTTAGATAATTCACACCATTGTTTTTCCCTTGATTAAATGTCATGTGTTCATTAACTACAAAAAAGCGTGCTTTGAAGCGCACTGGGGTTATAACACAATTCAGTATGTTTTGACTGGCTGATATGAAACACATTTCCCATCCAGTATCAATTTAACACCAAAAGCAGGGCACGGAATCTGCAGTATTCAGTGGAAAGTGTGAAACTTCTCTCTGAGTGGACAGACTGAGTCTCTTTCATAAAAAAACCCTATTCCATTACCCACACTGGAAGTGGAAGTTGAAGTCATTAATCTGGACCCATCCCTCTGTGTACTCTGCATGGGTGGGGACTGGAAGAAGCAGAGGATGGACCCTCAGACGTCACCACCTCTGCCCAGCCTCTCCTTCTGCTCACGGCTCAGTCAGGACTGATGGTGAGAGGGGATGAGTGTATGACAATATAAACCAACAGGAACCGCTGAGTGGAAACCTGTAGACTGTAAACTGGGAGTAATGTGTTTCTTATAAGCGTCGTTGGATTTGCTTACAACTTCACGGGAAGTCTTTGCTTTGTACTTCTGCCTCTGGTTTCGTGTCTCCTTGGATGTTGCGCCACGCTGCACACCGTTTGCCAACTGGCATGTGAGGGATCGCGTGCAGTTTACAGTGCGCTGGCACGAACACGTTTATCTTCAGCCTTTTCAGTGGCAGGAACCCGGCCGAGCCGATGAGTGCGCCCCACATGTTCCTCTCAAACGTATACAACATGTTGTTCATCACATTTGCCAGATGATACCTGTTGATTTTTCCTCGCGCCATGTCCTCCTGTCAGACTGAGCTGGACAATGAAGTTATGGGATAGCCTGACCACTTGTTTGATACTGCTTAGCGCCGTGCACGCCAGCCGGCTGCTCCGGAGCCGACCGCAGTCCTCTTCCACCGAGAGGAGAGGGCGCGCCGCCGAGAGTCCCCCGGAGCTCCCGCCGATTCAGGGCCGCCTGTCTCTCGCTTCCCCGGGAATGAGCCTTGCTGATGCGGGTACAGCGGACTGGGAAAGGACGCTGGCTGAAGGAGAAAAAAGTAAGAGCGTGTGGTTTTATGTATGGAGTGCCCAAAGTACCGAAAAACACAATAAGATTAGCCTCCAGCAGGCATGCTCGGTCTTGAATTATTTTTATTTTCCATAACAAAAAATAGGTAACTTTAAAAAAAAATGAACTGTTCAATTCAAAACATGTGAAACTGATTTGACTGAATTAAACTTCAGAGAGTTATCAATGTTTACACATATTTTATGTGTACATAGTTATGGTGCCTTGTTCAGCTTTTAAACCTTTGTTATGGTGTCCCATTCTTGCCTCCAACCTTAGGACTGCCACATTCAGAGCTCTTGGGTTGTGGTGGTATTACTTTCTTTATACCTTTAACACTGGATAGGCCGTAACAAGAGTTGGTTTGGGACATAATTCAAATGTGTTATGTAGGTTGGCAAGAAAATATTATTTTTCAATAGATTACAATATAATTGTTTTGTTTATACAATGTTATGTTGTAAATGACAATAGTTGTCCATTTAATTTCAATAAATCCACAATTTTAACTCTAGTGGTATTTGCTATAAGAGTGGCTTCTGTTTCTTTAATGAAGCACTCAAATTACAACAGTCTGGTTCATAAATAAAAACATTTGTAACTTGGCAGTCAGTTCAAATTAAATTCCTCACAACATCTGTTCAATAGCCAGATGATGAGTGAAGCAATATGTGCTTGCTGCCCTTGTAAGAGTACCATTTGTCTTGATGTGTTTCAGACACCATGGAGGAGTCCCCTACAAACGAGTTTAAGGACATGGTGGATTTAATCAAAGGGACCATCAGTAGAATACGTCGTTCCTCCTCATCCACTGTGTCCTCATCTACCTCCTCCCCTACCTCTTCCACCTCCGAAGAAGACCTGAGCAGCAGGACTCGACTCAGGAGGGAAAGGAAGAAGGGGGCAAGCCAGCAGAGTGGAGAAAGAAGAGGAAGAGCTGGAGGGACAGGAGGGAAGGTAAGGGGAGGTAACAGACGAGGACAGGGCTGTGTGCTCAAACAGATCCACCTCAATGTGACAGACCTTGGGCTGGGTTACAGCTCCAGCGAGGAAATGATATTCAGGTACTGCTCCGGACCCTGCAGGAAGTCTGAGACAAACTATGACAAAATCCTTTATAACCTCGCTCACAACAGGAGGCTTCTTCCTAAGGACACCCCCCCACAGACCTGCTGTCGGCCAATATCGTTTGATGATGACCTCTCGTTTTTGGACGACAACCTGGTGTACCACATCGTGAGGAAGCACTCTGCCAGGAAGTGTGGCTGTGTGTAGGGAGCTGGTGTCAGGTGTTGTGTAGTTTAACATACCCTCCCACTTTGAAGTTGATGTTGAGTGTTTTTTCTTCTGTTTTTCCCACTGTGAGGAGACTTCCAGGCATTAGTTGTGGTTGAATCCAGTCCAACAGTAAAGGATTAAAGAAGGAAAGGCGTTTACAGTTTTAACCTCAAAGCAAGGATGCTCTTCTTCTCCATTGCTTAATCCAAATATCCATAATTTCCTTCACAGTTCACACCTCACATTGCTAATATGTTCAGTGTGATTTTAAATGTTTCCATGGATACTCTACCTATACTTTCTGGACTGAAATCAGTCAAACACAATGGATGATTCAGCAGACTCGTTCTGTCTATTGTATAGCACGTATGTTACATGGAAAAAGTTATACACATATGAAATGTATTTATGAAATCTTGAATTTATTAACTTATTGATATTTATTATGTTTTTATAAAAGGAATACATGTTATTTATTACTGTAATGTGATATCTCAGACCGTGCCAAAGGTTTAAAACAAATAATTTGTTGATCTATTTCCATATAAAAGCTGTTTAAAAGACTGGTTTACAGGCCCTGTGGAAATGTCTTGCAAACAAAGGTTTGTGTTCATGTATTGCTTTTCACCAAAGCACATTGTGTGTCCTTGAAGTCTAACAAAAGAGTTTTCTAAATAATTTTCTTCCTCATAAAGCATTTTCGAAGCCGATTTTGAAAACAGTCATTTCAATTGTGCATTGTTTACATCATGATCAAGCTTACATCATGATCAAGTGCTTGCAGGCTTCTTATTTGCTGTTGCATTCATTGCTACTTTGGTGCATTGCTCACATGCTCATACTATACAAAGAAGCAGGGACCATCTCTTAAAAACTCTACAGGACATCTTCAAAACTGCCCTCACTATCTTATCCTAGTGTATTCACTTGATGTGTAAGTGAAACAAGATTTCCTGATAGAAATGTACCTACAGCTATATTTTTTATACAATATTCACTTTAAAAATGCCTCATTTACTTTTTAATAAATGTATTCTACACAGTGTATTCTGTATGTGATTACTAAGACAGGATTTTATGTTTCAGATCTATGTCGATGAGTTTAGCAGACAAGAAGCCATGTTGTCATAAATTGTCCATCTGAACAATAGACCAATGCTCAGAGAGAAACTCAGGTTTCCAACATTACGCCATACAGCCATAACATACGCTTGGCATTGATAAAAAAAAAAAACGAGACAGGTAACAGAAATGAATCATTGTATTTCCGTCACTTTTTGTGTGAAAGTGGAAAAGCAGCGAGAGGAACGGGGCGTCAGGGATTTGCCTTTGTAATAAAGGATTATAGAAGGATCTTATCAAATGACAGGAACAGACATCAAACAGAAGAGGATGGAGTATCTGTACATACATTAGAGTATAGTGTACAAGTATAAAAGGAAAATGAGATGGACAGCAGATAGATAGATGAAAGACGAGTGATACAACATACAACATGGATTAATGAGTTAAGAGATAACGTATGTGTTGGCAGAGAAAGGGGGACAATGAGAAGACAGTATAATTGAAAGGTGGCGCATATCCAGAGAAGACAATGATGATGGAGAACTTGAGAAGACATTATGTGCCTTGCTTAACTAATGTATGTGGTCGATATCTGATCTATCCGCTGCTCGCTCACATTTCACAGCCCTTCCTCTGCCTGTCCCCGAGCTGTGAGTCAGTGCTGCCTGGTTCAACAATTACAGGGCAACACTGGGGCTAAGACTCCCTTATTTTATTATGTTACTAATTATCTCGATAAGCGACACTGTGATTCTCTGTGAGACGCTTTGCAACCAGAGCTGATACACCAGTCAAGCTCAGAGCTGGGGATTGATAGATTCTGACAGCTGGGGTTACACTGACGTGTTTACAGTTCAGCTCTGTTGGCACTGCAGATGTTTACGTCTCTGTACTTGAAAATGTTCATCTTTTGGATGTTGATATTATTACCATGGTACTGTTATGGTAGTAAAAAGTGCAGCCAGTTGATCATTGATGAATTGAAATCAGCTACGCACTATACCAATATTGAAATAAAATGAGTGCCACGTTCACTTTATTTTTGAGCTTCCTCGCTTTTTGGTCAACCTAGAAATGCAGTTGAATGAGTCAACACTTTCCATTTCTATAACTTCTATTTCTCCTTTATTCAGTTATCAAGCCACAGTTTTACTCAACACTTAACATTTAACAAATTGGCCGAGTGTGGACTGTAGTTTGATTGCTGCGATGGGACCAATAAAGCATAAAACTGAGTTAACCATGACAGTGCCAAACCTTTATTGGCCCCCCTGTAGAAAATATATACAACAAGGCCATCAGCTTAACCTGTGGAGAGCAGGGGAAATCATTAGTGCTCACTGACAGCCAGAGGATAGTGTCATTAGTCAGATGAGTCTGAGCTGCTCTTTTGTTCGTGGTGTCAGAGGAGCTTGTAATGGAGGATAATGTTCCTGTGGAGTGTAATACAACACAAGCAATAGCGGTTAAAGGGATGGTGCTCCAAACAGGTGCTAAATACTGTCAGAACTGAGAAGGAGACACTTATGTTACAGTGATATCTTCAAAGGGCTGGTTCACCTAAAATATAATGTCTAGCCATATAACGTTTTCAGATATGAGGTATTATCTTAGTAAAATGTGAAGTGTATAAAATAATGCTTGTAGTGCACGATGCAAAAAATATGCCATATTATATATATTTATATTTTCTAAAAAATAGAAAATGTTTTATTATTGTTAGTTGCCAGGGCACATGTTCAGGGAAAAACAAGATTGTTTAATTTTCTAAATTAATTTTCCATATGGATACTTTTATTGTGCAACTGAGTAGCTGAGCAGTCAAAGACATATTTTAGTAGTTATTATGGGGTAAATAGGGCAGGCAAGGTAAACACTGCTGTTAAGTCAGTTTCTCAGAAGGAAAGCTTGTCAGCATGATGGTTTTAAATTGCACTTCATAAAGTGTCTCTGCAGTAGCTCAAACACTCATCATTCCATCCAAATGAGTGGCCAGCTTGTTTACAAGAGAAAACAATTGTGGGCAGAGCCTTTCGACCACCATTGTGCCAGCTGGCGTGAGAAAAGATACAAATTATAACCTAAGTGTAATCACGGTTATATGAGACATAACGCGGGTCTTCATCAGAGATCTGTCAAACCACACAAGCTCTTTGTGCCACTGCAGTCAGTGTGACTCACTATATGAAGAGTCAATTGTAAAGACAACCACAGAAGGAGGAAGGAGAGGCTTCGCAGATGAAAACAATACAGCTACCAATTCCAGATGTATGATAACAACACTGACGCTTTCTCACTTATTTTTAGAGATTAAAATAGACTCCAAGATGTGATATATTCTCATATACACAATTGATAAAAGTAGTTTGTCTTTTGTGGGTCTTGAAAATGTAGAAAGGCAAAAGGGGGGTTTTGGTTCCAAACTTCAAAAATCTTTAAGATAAAAGTAAAAAAAACACAATATTTTAGTGATCCATGCAAGAAACAGGCTGGGAGCTTTAGTTTAGGAAGGATAGCTGTGCTGACAGTGGACTGGCTGCAACACAAAGCAGAAGCAGAGGGGATTAACGTGGAGCTCTAACCACACTGCCCTGATCATCACGTCTACTGGCCTATCGCCAAACCTCCAGTCTGGACCACCAGCCACAGGCTCCCACTCATCACTACCACACACACAGACACGTGTTATCAGTCATCTCTCAAGTGAACTGCAGATGGACTTTACATTCATACACCCAATTATCAGAGAGATGAAAGACAGAACAATGGACACCATCAAAAAAACATCAGTGGTGAGACATTTATCAAAACCCTCATTTTCATTTTTTAGTTTTTGATTTAACAAAGGTTTAATATTTAATGGGCTTGCAATTGAAAGGGTTGATGGTGTAATATAACAACACTGTACTGTACATAGTGTATGATGTAACACTTCATATACGTAATATAAGTCAGTTGAACTTCAGTTAACTTGTGAACCTGACCCAGCTCAGTTCTTTAGCGGATGCAATATTTTGACACAAATTATAAATGTCGAGAAGGAAATGGCAAGAGGTGTGAATGTAACACTATCACCTGCGAGTTGGTGAGTACGAGGTGTTCGACCCGATGGTTAAATATTCAGGTGCAACCAGAGAATGTGCGTTACAACGCTCTCAGCTTCACTAATTTGACACACTATTGAGTGTGTGCATGTAATCATACAAGAAAAGCATACATCTCTATGTTTAAGTGCTGTGGCAGAGGGCCAGCTTGAACCTTTATCAAAAGCCAGAAAGTGGAATTAAATGTGAAAATAAAAGTTGTCTAAAATCCACGCTAGATGTGCTCTTGTGGCTATGTGTGTAAATCCTATTCTGAAAGAATGCCTTGTGAGTAGGCAGCTCAGCCAAAGACATTTACTGGTTGATGACATGATTTTTCGGCAACTTCTGTCTGTGATGTCAGGGTGAAATTATAAGAAATGGCTCACATGCCGACTGGTTGAAGCCCTGCTGGACAGGAAGCTGTCCGCTGTAGTGTGACACGCTACATCAAGCCGGGAGGAAACAGCTGAGATGATGTGACAAAGTCACACAAGCTCACAGAGAGATTGAGGAGCGAGGATTTATCTAGTTAAACCCTTCTTTGAAACTGTATTTCTTTCAACCCCAAGGCTTCAATGATTTACTTGCTTGTGACTATGCTGACAAATTACATAGTTAAGTGACTTCCTACTTGTACCACTTGTTTCTCAGATCGATTTCGAACTGTTAAGCTGTTTTTATTTTTTTTCATCTGTGAAAAAGGTTTTGCAGATCGGATAAAAGTTTTCAGAGGAATATTTGTTTGTTTTAATCTGCAAAAACAGGTGTATTGGAAAGGGAATTTAAACACATTTTTCAGTGTCATGCTATTTTTATTTTTATTTTGCAACAAGAGACCGATTGTCTTGCGAGTACAATAATGAATCAATCAATCAATGTTTATTTATATAGCCCAATATAACAAATGTTACAG